TCACATGGACCAGACTAACCCATTCACTATCAGAAATATGATAGATTACCCCAGCATCTAGTAGCTTAAGCATCTCTTTTTTAACTACTTCCTTCATGTTAGGATTTAATCTACGTTGGTGCTCTATAGAGGGTTTATGATCATCTTCCAAGAGAATTCTATGCATGTAAATTGATGGATTGATTCCATTAATGTCGTTCATGGTATATCCTATGACCTTGCGATGCATCCTAAGTGTTCTAGGTAACTTATCAGTTTCATTTTCATTTTCATTCAGACATGCATTCACAATTACAGGATAAGTAGAGTTAGAACCAAAAAATTCATACCTTAAAGAGGAAGGGAGGGGTTTTAATTCTACCTTTGGTGCTTTATCCTCTTTACAAGTAGAACTTTTTGGCTCTAGCATCAATCTTTCAAGCTTTGCATTTCGAAGTGGAGCAGTTGATGTTGATTCTAAGGATTGAGCATACGCGGCTACCTCGGAGTCTTCATCATTTATTGAACCGTCGCTTACCAAACATTTCTCAAGTGGATCAGCTGAGTAATGATTTACAAGTTGCTCATGTGTACACTTATCAATCACGTCGATCATGTAACAAACTTTATCAGTTAAAAGGAGTTTCATAGCATTGCTTAAATCAAATTCTACCGTCTTTCCTCCAATATTTAGGGAGAGCCTTTCATTTTTAACATCGATTATAGTACCTGCAGTAGCAAGGAAGGGTCTTCCTAATATAATTGGAATGTTAGAATCTTATTCTATTTTCAAAATAACAAAATCAATCAGGATAAAGAACTTACCGACCTGGATAGGTACATCTTCAAGTATACCTACCGGATATTTTACCGATCGATCCACCAATTGGAGTGATATCGTAGTTGGCTTCAAATCACCTATACCAAGCTTCTTACAAATAGACATCGGCATCAAACTTACGCTTGCACCTAAATCACATAAAGCACGGTTAATAGAGACATTACCAATAACACAAGGAATAGAAAATAAAACTGGATCCTTAAGTTTAGGAGTCAACTTATTTTGGATGATAGCACTATACTCCTCAGTAAGGGCCACAGTCTCGCATACTTCCAACTTCCTTTTATTAGATATGATCTCTTTCAAGAACTTAGCATAAGAAGACATTTAGGAAATAGTCTCAATAAACGGGATATTGATGTGCAACTTTTTCAAAATCTCTAAAAATTTTCCGAACTGCTTTTCTAACTTAGCCTTAGCTAACCTTTGGGGAAAGGGTAAGGAGCGGGAGACACATATTTCTCAACTTTCTTCTCAACTTTCTCTTCTTCTTGCGTTTAGGTCTCATTATCCACATCTATCACATTTTCACTTCTTTCTTCATGATGACCATCTGCCCCATCATTTTCCTTCATCTTAGGTCCCTTATATTATTTTCCACTCCTAAGGGTTATAGCATTCACATGACCCCTGGGATTCATCTCGGGTTGTCCAGGTAGCATGCCCGAAGGTCTAGAGAAAGAACTAATATTTTGTACCAATTGGATGATTTGTGTCTTCAACATCTTGTTATGTGTAATTAGAGAATCCATCTTAGAGGCCAATTATTTTACTACCTCATTCATGGTTTGTTGTTGTTGCTTAAACTCTACATTCAATCTCGATTGAGTCGTCACAAACTTTTCCATCATATTTTCTAAATTAGACCTTTGAGAAGGGAGATTAGATTGAGGAGCACGAAAACCAGGAGGAGCAAAATTAGATGCGGGCATGGGGTTTCTAGGTGGATTTCTATAAGATAAATTAGGATGATTCATTCACCTAGGATTGTAAGTGTTGGAGAATGGGTCTCTCTTCTGATTAAAGTTATTAACATAGTTAACATGTTCATTATCAGAAGTATCAAAGGATGGGTGGTTTCCTAATTGACATTCAAGTGCAGAATGACCCACATAACCACATATCTCACATGCAATTGAAGTAGAGGCCACAAAATTAATACTCAAGCTTTCAACTTTTTTAAACAAAGCATCAACTTAAGAGGATATATGATCTAAAGCATCCATTTCATACTTTCCTCCTTTTGATGTCTGAGCACGCTCGTTCGCCCATTGATGGTGATTTTGAGTCATGTCTTCAATGAGAGTGTATGTCTCAACTATTATTTTGTTCATCAAAGCTCCTTCTGTAGCAGCATCAACAGTCATTCGAGTGTTGTAAGTGAGCCCGTTGTAGAAGGTGTGAATAATTAACCACTTCTCCAGTCCATGGTGAGGGTACATCCTCAATAATTCCTTGTAGTGCTCCCAAGCTTCATAGAGTGACTCTCCTTCTTTTTGTACAAAGCTTATGATTTGGTCCTCATCTGTGCTGTTTTACTTGGGGGAAAACACTTTGCAAGAAACGCCCTGGATAACTGATCCCAAGTGGTAATGGACCCAGCTGGCAATGAATGCAGTCGAATAGCATCATTGGTCACTCCATTAAGCTTAAAAGTGTCACAATACTCCAAGAAAATCGACAGGTGGAGGTTTGGGTCTTCAGTTGCGCCTCCTCCAAACTGATTCTGCGGAACCATTGAGAGTAGTGATGATTTCAGCTCAAAGTTATTAGCTTCAATAGTGGGCCTTGTAATACTCGAGTGCGTGCCTTGAACATTTGGGGCAGTGAAATCCTTAAGAAGATGATTTTGATCATCCATCGTAGCTTATTCTGTGTTCCTTTGCTCCCTTATATACCTTCTTATGTTCGCAAGAGTCACCGATAGTTCAGAATTGTTTTCGTCGTGTACTTACGTTTAATGCCCTTGCATAAAAGAAATGAGTAGCAAAGAGAATATGAAAAAATCTAGTCTAGCTTAATAACGTAAGCACTCAATATTAACACCGTAGTCCCCGACAACGACGCCAAAAACTTGATAGGTAAATCCGCAAACGCACGGACTCGTTATAGCTATCAAGGTCGATCCCACATGGACTAAGGGTTAATTATCAAATTTCACGTTATTCGACTAGCTAAATCGACGAGTAAAATAGAAGAGATTAAATTTGCGAAATTAAATAAAAGAAATAAAATAAACAACTAATCGGGTGGAATTCAATATAATGAAAGGTCAGGATTGAGTTTTCACCACAATTTCGGTGCTCAATGATGAATTATTTCAATTATCAGTGTTGGTTTAAACTAGAAAGAGTGAATTAGCCTAAATTAATCTAAAGGCTTTTTCAAGGTCTAAGGATCGTGCCTAATTAATCTCAATTTGTACCTAATTAATCTCAATTAACCTACTTTCGTGAAATCAAGATTAAATTAAACCCATTAAGTTTTATGCTAATCCAAATTAAATCCCCAAGGAATCTAGCCTACTTTCGTGGTTCGAAATCCCTGCTTAATTTCTAGAGGTCCGGTATTAATTTTCACATTTCAGTCCTTCAATTAATTACATATGATTGCTAATCCGGTGATCAAGCGAATCAACAAAATTAATTCATAAGAAATTAAGTTTAAAGATCTAAACTTTCACCAAGAACATATATTAATCCATCATCAATTATCAAAAAGTTTGGTTCTTTCCCAATCCTAGACAAGGAATCTACTCACACATGATTGGGATAAGAGAATACATCATATAAATATGCAAATCAATTATAAGAAGAAATGAATTAAAGAGAGGAAAGAATTAACCCGTCTTTTAATTAAAATCTTCAAAATATAGACTTGTAATCCAATCTTGTACAAGAAATTTGTGTCTTCCTTCAATACTTGAACAAATCTTCAAAATATAGACTTGTAATCCAATCTTGTACAAGAAATTTGTGTCTTCCTTCAATACTTGAACTCTAAAATAGATGCTAATTGACGGCTCCAATCTTGTACAAGAAATTTGTGTCTTCCTTCAATACTTGAACTCTAAAATAGATGCTAATTGACGGTTAAGAGAACAAGAACCAAAGATCCTAAACTCTAATCTAAAATACATATTTATAGGTCCCAAAAAATCTGAAAAAAGATAAGGCCCGAACCACGGGCGTGGTGCGCATCACACCAGGGTGTGGTGGAATCTGTCTCGCTCATTTTGTGCTTGTTCGTACAGTTTTTGGTGTTTTGGCTGTAACTTCTTCGTCTGACTTCGGAATGAGGTGATTCAAGTTGTGTTGGAAAGCTGTTAAAGAGATCTATAACTTTTATCTTTTGAGTTTTTTCGGATTCGAACTGCGTCATGGTCGAAATTCCAGTTCTTCATACTCGTGCATCCATTTCCTTCTCAAGCCATGCATTCTAAATCTCGTTGTTACTTCAAACTCTTGTTTAACTTCCAACGATCATCGAATCTTTCAATCTTGAGCCAATACCTGCATATAAGAACACAAACCACAGCAGTATCCTCGATCTAAACATGAAATATGCATCAAACACCCATAAATCATGCTTGAAACATACTAAGATAATGCATATTTTACGTGTTTATCATTATAGAATCTTGGTCAACTCTATGTTCGAACTAGTGAGTAGTTATCCATAGCTGATCTAGCATTAGCGGGAAAAAGTGATGTGGAGGATGACGACGACAATAATGGAGCTTTTACAGGTCTAAGAGCCAAATAATGTTTGCAGCAATGTTGATCAATAGAACATTGGTACTGGTTTCTTTACATCAAATAACCACACTGTTAGTCTGGTTTTTTTTAAAGGGAACTTTGAGTAATTATTTTCAACAACTACAAATGAATTTTATGATAATTCATCATCTTTTAAGCAAGGTGACATGATTATCCTCGGTTGTGTTTCTCTTTGTATGGGAAAAAGGTAGTATTTCTCTTGGAAGAGGGGTCACAAATAATGCAGAATTCAGCCCCATTCTTTGTTTCCTTCCCCATCTAATACTATCAGTCAAGATTAAAGAACTAAAATTTCATATGTACCTTCCATTTTAATTTTCAGAATGTGACTCATTGTCTTCCTTTAATTATATGTAAAACAATTTTCTTCTAATGATTGTTGCAACTCCTTGTGAGCAAAGCAAAGGGTCGCTCATCAAGACTACGGAGAAGAAAATCAGAAACTTTACGTGTTCAATATATAAGTAACAAGGATGTGAGGTTCGTTATAACATCTGCTCCTTTTTTATCTGCTTCTTCTCCTCCTGTTATTTAGATATTTTGGATGGTTATTTAGTTAATAAATATGCTTCTATTGTACAACTTTGCTTTATTTAGGGTTATGATTGGAACTTGGAATGTCGCTGGAAGGTTCCCATCAGAGGAAGTTGAACTTGATGAGTGGCTTTGTAAAAGAGAACCAGCTGACATATATATTCTTGGGTGAGATTGTCCCCTTGTTAACTGTATAACTTAATTATTTGAGTTCCATGACCATTACATATCTTCATTTGTCTGTCTACTATTTATCATAGTAAATTTAAATGAATATCTAGTGATGTTCCGGAAGGCAACAAAGTAGGTGTTACATGTAATTATTTTTTCACGGTAGCCAGTTTCGGATGAGAATAACTTGACCTCATAATGAATGATATTACTATTTGGATGAAAATACTCTAAGCTGGTGTATGTTTGTCATCTATGGTAATATATTTACGTGGACTCCTGTCCGAGAGCATAAGTCAAAAACAAATAGTGCATAGGGAGCTAATACAATTCTTCATTTTATGCCTTCAACATAAGATAAAACTTGTATCTGTTGTAACTAATGCATCATCGAAAAATTCTCTTGTATAGATAAAATGATTTATGACATTGAACGCACTTGACACTTTCCTACATAAGTATATTTGAGTTAACTGAGGTTTCAAATTATACAAATGTATACAAGTGGAAGAATTGTAGCAACCACGTAAAACTATATTGGTAATTCTACCGGGTTCCAGTTAAGATTTTTTGACAGAATCGTTTCTGCATAAAATTTTGGATCCTATCTTTTTGTTTTTAAACAAAATTTCTATGCGCAGCTTTCAAGAGGTGGTGCCATTGAATGCTGGAAACATTCTGGGAGCAGAAGATAACAGGCCTATTCCCAAATGGGAATCCATAATTCGAAGAACACTTAATAGTAATTCCTTACAGTCAAAGCCATCATATAAAAGTTACAGTGCTCCTCCCTCACCTGTATCAAGAGCACCCCTTTCTGATAGTTCACTTGCAAATAAAGTACACGTGCCTGGTAACCATGCTTTTGAAAGGGGTGAACAAGATAAATCTGTAAGCTTTGGGAAGAATTTCCAGTGGAATAGGATCAACTCCAATAACTATTCAAATAAATTGGATTGGCCTGAATACTCATTAGACAAGCCACAAAAAGATATAAAATCGCGAACAAAACTAAGAAGAGTGTTAAGCAGCAGCCAAGGAATTGGCTTTGGTTGGCTGGATGGATCTAAAGTTTATTCTTCTGAAAGTTTATCTTCGAGTGTTGGTTTGAAGAGGGTATATCGTAGCTCAGGTAACCTTGGAATGTTGTGGTCTGAACGAGAAGAAGCATCTGATGTTCTTGAATCACTAAAGGATGTGTCTGATAAGTCATCTGAAGAAGATTCTTCACCAGAAAATGAAGTGGAGAGGGGTGAAAATGAAGGAAGTGGAGAATGTTCAAACCCCCGTCCTAGATTTGTTCGTATTGTCAGTAAACAAATGGTGGGCATTTACATTTCAGTCTGGGTTTGTAGAAGATTGAGAAGACATGTAAATAACTTAAAGGTATCTCCAGTTGGTGTTGGACTTATGGGATACATGGGAAACAAGGTTATTACTCCACTCTCGAACTTTACCTGCACTTTTGAATTTTTCGCTGAGTAGATCTGCAATCACTGGTTTCTTTTTATTATGCAGGGATCTGTTTCTGTTAGCATGTCTCTCTTCCAAACACGATTTTGTTTTGTTTGTTCTCATTTGACATCTGGTCACAAAGAAGGAGATCAACAGAAACGGAACTCTGACGTGCATGATATCTTACAGCGTACCCGGTTTTCTTCTATCATAGCTGTGGATCAACCACAAACAATTCCATCACATGAGTAAGAAATGACTTAATTTGCTTTTGAACATCATTTTCCTTTTTCTTGTTGTGCTATTACATTTCTTTTTTCTTATTTTTAACTCAAATACATTTATTCAGTTACTTAATATGAACATATACATTTATACATTTATCATACCAGAATTTGATCATTTAAACATATTTTCACATGATTAAATGGATACATCGGCTGTAGTTACAGACAATGTGACTGCATATGTAATCACTGTAAAATTCCAGATGACTGTTATGCTCAAATTTTAAGTCGATTGTTTGTGGACTACAGCGATAACTGTTATGCTAAAAGTTTTAAGTCGGTTGTTTGTGGACTATAGCAAAACTCTGAAATTGTAGCAAGGGTTGAGGGTTTTAATTTTATACTCAACAGTAATGTTATCAATCAATCCTAACATGTAAAAATATCCATGTCAGAAGGGCCTCAAGGCATGAAAGGCCTGTAGTGAAATACGATTCACTTGAAAACATATTGAAGGCTAGCTAAATATGTTTAAATTGTCAGTGATGAGATTTAAATAATCTCCTGAATCTGTTCCTCTTATACCATGTCTGAAAACCACTTATGCAATGTCCCGTTTTGTACTATTCATGTGGTTTTATTAAAATCTGATGCATACTGGTCCTTTTTGAATGGGAGCAGCCGTATCTTCTGGTTTGGGGACTTAAATTATCGCCTTAACATGTCAGATGCTGGAGTAAGGAAGCTTGTTGCAATGAAACAGTGGGATGAACTCATGAACTATGATCAGGTATATGTCATGCACTAGTTTCTCTCAATAGTTGATAAATTATGTGCATTACTTGAGTTAACATGCATATGGATTTACCAACCCATATGCGGACAAAATACAAGCAAATGTATGAAGAGGCCGCTATACATAATCCTATTAGTATGTGAGGACTTTATTTTAACATAGATAATATCCCGATTAAGGAAAGAGTCAGCCATATATAGAAGATTAATAAAGATCAGAATAAAGAGAAATTAAAAACTATGAAACCAGAAGATGCTTTGGCTGTTTTAATGAATCAACTTTGTAAAGACTTTTGTGGCTAAACATTTGATGAACCTGACCCCGATGTAGAAAAGAAACTCATACAAATGAGACTTTGTCAGATCTGCTATGTAGAAGATTTTCTAATGGATTAACTTAAACTAGTCTCTATGCTTGAAAATAAGCAACGAATGATTGGTGGACAGTACAAATTATTAGGAAACTATCCAAGCCATTGGATACTCTTCTAGAAGAAGCATATCTAAAGAAAACACCTAAAAATGATAGATCTAGTGGAGCTGTTCAACTTTTTATGTTAAGAAAACTAGAACTGTACTGTCAGTTATCTAAGGCATTTAAGCAAACCAAAAGGCAACATGCATATTCCAACAAACGGGGGGATTTTTGTCCATGAGAGCTAACATAGTAATTTTATGCCTGTGATATCTATTTCATAGTTGAACAATGAGATCAGGAGGGGGCACATATTTGATGGATGGATGGAGGGCTTGATTGACTTCCCACCTACATACAAGTATGAAATAAACTCGAATAAGTACGTTGGAGAAAATGCTAGAGAGGGTGAGAAGCGAAGGTCCCCTGCCTGGTACATATTTTCTCTTCGCTAGGTTTGAACGACGTATGTATATATGTATGTATGTATGTGCCATCTTGTTTGTATGTATGTGTTTATGTACGAGTGCCACTATGACATTTTGTTGTATATGCTTCTCAATGGTAATTTTTCATGAACATTCAGGTGTGACCGCATACTGTGGTTTGGGAAGGGAATTAGGCAGCTCTCTTATTGGAGTTCTGAACTTGATCTCTCTGACCACCGTCCTGTTAGCTCGATTTTTTATGTAGAAGTCGAAGTATTTAATGAAGGGAAATTACAAAGAGCACTAAACTTCACAAATCCTGAATTACTTCCAGAAAATCTTTGTTTTGAAGAAAATTGATATGGATCCTTCATATTAACTCTATAAGTCAATTAAGTATGTATTGGCATATTCAAGGCCGGATTAAAAGGATATCAAATGTCTCTGGGTGCTGCTTTCCGAAGTCCAATTAGGTAATGTCTGAAGGTATTTTGTTTTTATGTTTCAGGTTCTCTTGTTTGTATGCTCATGGTTTCTAATTTTCCCATATTCTTATGCAGGGATGCTCCTAATCCATTCCGGGGTGACTTAATTTATCCTGATCTCTGGTTCAAATTTTCTTCTGCAGGAAATATATGATTGGTTAATTGCACTTGCAAAAGACGAGTGGATGAGTTTTTACGGGATATTTATAGGATTTTGATTACATTACAATTGAGGTTCGAAGTAACATAATGAGAGCTAATTCTGAAAATGATATTAGTCAAACTAAGAAGAAAGAGAAGGGGCACATGGTTTTCATCATGAAGGGATTATCTGATATCTCGTCGTCAGATTCTGGTGTCATTGTATTTGTGTTACGATTGCTTATAAAATTATTCTATTGAACACACGAGAGTGTTCTCTGGGTGTTTTGAGTTCTAGTGTAAAGCTGTTGGCGATAGTTTCTTAGACATCACTAATTTTTTTAATTATCTGTTAATTTTATTGTGCTTCCCTCTTGATTCTGTTTACTAGGGGTGATTAATTGAGGATTTCCCAAGTGAATTAGTAAATATTCTCTTGTATACTTGTCAAGGTAATGGTCTTATCTTTTGCTTAGGTTTATCTCCCCTTTGCTAATTTTACATCTTATATGAAACTTTTGCTTATATAAATGACAAAATACAACAGGAAACATCAATAACTTCTGAGGAGATTTGTAAATGCAAAGTGCAATCGATGTGCCAGGTTAATAGGTTATTGCCTCCTACCATAACTGTGCTCTTCTTCTGCTATTTCTTTTTAAGGATCAAAGAACTGGGGAAGAAAAGGAAGGGGCTTCTATTTTTGCACAAACAACCCTCCCCACCCAACCAAAAAAAAAAAAAAAATCTCGGTGCCCGGGCGGTCTCTCTTTGTGTTTGTTTTTGTTTCCTATCTCTATGTTGGTTTCTTCGTCTTGCTTTTTCTGGTTCAGGGCTTTGTTAAACTGAGATAAAGTCATTTATTACCGGGATTAATGATGATGAAACAACCGAGGCACTTCCCAGTTTAAAGTCAAGGTTAAAAATAAGTAAACACACTAGACTATAGTATGCACAAGTCTTCAAGTTAGGTTAGCTTTTGAGCAACCCATCCCATATTTTAACTGAAAGGTAGAGGAGATGGCTTGTGAATCAGGGTATAAAGATATTGACACTGGTCTTTAAAGTTTTGTAGGTTGCATATGCAAGTTACATTTTTAAAAAAATTGTCGATATAGGTAAATTTGGAGGATTGCAATCCTCAAACATGACATATATAATTAACTTCAGCTGATAATTTGACGTTAAACAATTCGAACAAAGGAATTTGTCTACTGAATAAGTTGGTTGAAGTTAGGTGCATCTCCGATGACTACTTTTACCTAGGTAGCTATGAAAAATGACTTGAGGAATGTTAACCAACAGCAAGACTAAGAAGAATATTATGACAAATGACTTTACATCTCATTTATATGCGTACTGCTTTCACACTGTGTCTTTCAAACTTTGTCTTTGACACTAATGGAGCTCATGAGGCTACACCTCAGAGCAAAGTTCTCAATTACAGTGTGTATATTATTGTTTCATTTAGTAGGTGCATTTGACTCAGAGCTCTCTCCATACTACTACAGTGAGTTGTGCCCTCTTGCTGAAGAGATCGTTAGGCAAAATGTCGAGGCAGCAGTTTATCGTGACCCATTATTGGCAGCAGCTCTCTTGAGACTCCATTTCCATGACTGTTTTGTTCTGGTCTAATTCTTTGGCTACTTAATGTTTTCAAATTTGAGTTCTTGTTATTGTTAAGTTTAATACTAATATTGTGAAAAGTTTGTGTAGGGATGTGATGCATCCTTACTACTTGATGACACAGTTGCAATAGTCAGTGAGAAGACAGCAGTTCCAAACTTGAATTCTCTTCGTGGGTTCGAGGTGATTGATAGAATCAAATATTTGTTGGAGGAAGCTTGCCCTTTGACTGTATCTTGTGCTGATATTTTGGCAATTGTTGCTAGAGATGCAGTTGTTTTGGTAAGTTTTAGCACCAAGTTCCATATTCTCCTATATAGAGATACGTAAGAAAACAGACACAATTCGAGATGGGCATCTTGTATTAATATTTGTATACTCGTGTTCTACAGTGATGACTAGGTTCATACTAATCATGAATTGTCAGTATGCTGCATGCCAATGGTATTTGTTTTGCAGGTTGATATGACAAAAAAGAGTCTGTATAAATCTTTAGAAGTATTAAAAGTTTCAACCTACCTAGCCATTTAAAATAACAAAAGAAACTTCTGTATTTAATTCCTGTGAAGTACCGGTAATCCTACGACTGAATTAAAAATAACCGTATTGTTATAGTTTTTGACGTGTAGAAGAAGTTTAGTTTTAGTTTAAAGATACAGTGATGGTTTTTTATGTTCCATATGAGCCTACCTATGATTCATTGAGTATTTAGGTCTCCATCAGAATGCTTACATTCATCAGTACTGAGTTATATCAAACTGGATATTAACTGCTGCAAGAGAACATGAATCTTTGTTATGATATTTGGATAGTTTTTTTTTTACAAACTTGGTAAACAATTTTGCCCTTACTGTTCTTTGAGTTAACCATTTCTCGGCTTTCTATGATCAATATGCTTTCCTTTGTTTTAACTGTGAGTTCTTCGTACAGAGAGGGGGACCGAGCTGGGAAGTATATTTAGGGAGAAAAGACTCCCTGCAAGCGAGTGTCACTCTTGCAAACAAAATGATACCTGCTCCAAACTCCACTCTTGAGGTTCTCATTGCCAACTTTGCAGCACAAGGGCTTGACGTAGTAGACCTGGTAGCTCTATCAGGTACTGATAGCTCACATGTTTAATATATCCGTAGTATGATGAAAAAATTTATGTAGCGTTAATTACAGAGACTCCCTGTAGTATTGCTATTTTGCATCTATCCCTATGGTTTCATTGTTGCAGTTCGACTTCCTAGTTTTTTTTTTTTTTTTTTTTACTCTTTTATCCTCAGATAAGACTTTCAAATGTCATCCAGGGAGCAATACTTGCCAAAATGTTACGAAGGGTAACTGAGACAGAAAAATTTAAAACAGGCATAATGAAACTACGGGGGTAGTAAGTGCGAAACAGGGACTCTTTTGTGTGTATGTGTGTTTTTTTTTGTTGGGGGAGGGGGATATATGCAATTATCTCATAATGTACCATCTAACTGAAGGTTAAACTACGTTTTATTTTAACTTTGGATAGAGAACACACCTACTTGGGGAATTAAAGTGACCTTTAATATGCGTTGCAAATCAAATTAAAAACAAATGTTTAAGCAACGATAAGGGCAGACAATTTTGAGCGTTATCCCTGGGAAATCATGAGCAGAACAGCATGTCACCAATATCGGTAGGATTTTCCACCATCCGCGTCTACGTGATCAGATCCTATGGTCTAATACCAATAGGGTCTCCCGTAGCGAGAATCAAATTAACCCAAAAACTTAAGCCATTAGATATTGACTTCGAACTTCCTATTTAGTCTTTCCATTGTTGGGATTATACTCACACGTGAATACCGATGGTAATTAACTGCAGGAAGTCATACCATCGGAAGATCAAGATGTACTAGCTTCAAAGGGAGGCTATACGGTCAGCTAGCGTATGAAGGGCCTCCGTTCTCCCTCGAATATAGAAGTTATACATTCCGAAGTTCTTTGCAGGCAATATGCCCAACAAATGGGAGAGACAATGCCTTGGTCCCTCTAGACCTCAAGACTTCAAGGAGGTTCGATAACCAGTACTACCTCAACTTGCTTAGAGGCCTCGGCTTGCTTCAGAGTGATGAAGCGCTTGTTTCTGAGAGCGTAGAGGAGAGTGTTATAGAGATAGTTTGGGCTTACGCTCAGAATCAAGAGCTTTTCTTTCGGGATTTTGCAAAATCTATGATAAAGATGGGGAATATTAATGTGCTTACTGGAAGTGAGGGACAAGTTAGAGAGCACTGTCGATATTTGAATGTTTAGATGGAGAGTTAATGAACAAGACGAAGGTTTCTTTTGCTTGTTGATGATGCATTTATATCTAGAATGATATATGATTGTAATGAAACTAACGAAGTTTTGAAATGTTGCATATTATGTCAAGATAAACTGTTCTATTATCTCTATTGCTTGATTTTATTTTGTTCCGTGTGAGATGAGGCCCACTTGATTAGAATTAGGTGATTCCAAGTTTATTCTTTAGCAAACTCATTCGCCAAACACAAAAAAATAATAAAAATTTAAAAAAAATTAAAAAAGAAATAAAAAAAATTTAAATTTAGTTTTATTCTCCTTTCCATTTCATCCTCCTCTTCTCTAATCCTGGCAGCTAACAGAGGGAGTTATGTTTCCTCCTCTTTTAAATAGTGTATTTCTGCATTTTTTTTTTCACCATTTGAAATTTTTTTGGTTGTCTATGAATATGAGGATTCGAACCCACGACTTCTCATATATAAGTCATGCTACCGTGAGTACAAATTTTATTAAAACGTCCTAGTCATTCACAGAAATGATAGGATGGAATCTTGAAAACTTTAGTTCTTTTCTTTATTAGTTAAACAATCTCATTCGTATTTAAAATTTTAACTCTTCTCTAACCAAGGGTCGATATTAGCATCTTTTAAGGAAATGGACAATCAAATTAGACAAAAGCATGGTTAGCCCACTCGTGTGTTCCTTATTACATGCATTAGCTCCACAAGAAAAGAAATCCCCAAAGAGAGATAAAACTTGATGAAATATAAATCTACATAGAATATGTCACGCCCCGGGCTCACGGGCCTGTTGGCGGGTGCAAGCTGTGGGACCCACTGAGAGCTACTCAATGTTGGCTAAAATCCCCTATCAAAATGCTAGCATTAGTTGTTCTTGGGCTTTTCTCTATTTAAATCACTAACATTTCTTCACACTAATCTACGTGGGACTAAAGTGGGGGTGTCACAATCACCCCACCTTACAAAGACGACGTCCTCTTCGTCACGACATGACAATTGGCACATCCCAGTGTCACTGCCAGACGATGTGGGCTCTAGAGGTGGCTCCCACCGCATCCACGCAGTGTAACACTTAGCCCCGTATAGCACTTATATCCACACTTACGGCTAGCAACTTTGTTGATACCATTTGTCATGTCACGCCCCCAAAATGCGCAATTTATTTTGAGTAAACCATATTGTTAAGGTTTTCGGCTTGTATCAGAATATCTACGTTCAGTACCGAGCTATAGCAAACTGGATATAACTACTGCAAGAGAGCAGGAATCTTTGTTATGGTATTTGGATGGTTTCTTTTGTACAAACTTGGCCTTAAATGTACGTGGGGATCAAATTAAGAACAAAAGTTTAAGCAGCAATCTCCCACTTCATCGATGAGTATATTGCATTATCCACAAGAAAGCATGGACCCTTGAACAAATGACAAGGGCAGCGAATTTATAGCATTATCCATAAAAAATCATGAGCTAAACAACGTGGCTACCAGCATCAACAGGATTTTCCAGCATCTGTGGCTACATGATCACATCCATATTGACTTCAAACTTTCTATTTAATTTTTTTTTCCCGTTGTGGGATTATACTCACACATGAATACCAACGTACGGTAATTAACTGCAGGGAGTCATACCATCGGAAGATCAAGACGCGGTACAAGCTTCAAAGGGAGACTATACAGTCAGGTAGCATACGAAGGACCTCCATTCTCCCTCGAACACAGAAGCTACACATTCCGAAGATCTTTGCAGTCAATATGCCCAACATATGGGAGAGACAATGCCTTGTGCCTCTAGACCTCAAGGAGGTTTTATAACCGATATGATCTTAACTTGCTTAGAGGCCTGGGCTTGCCTGCACTTGTTTCTGAGAGAGTAGAGGAGAGGGTGACAGAGTTAGTATGGGTTTATGCATGTTCAGGATCAAGAGCTTTTCTGTACGTAGGGACTTTGCTAAATCCATGATAAGGATGGAGAAGATTAATGTGCTTAGTGGAAGTGAGCGGCAAATCCGAGAGAATTGTGGATGTTTGAATGTTTAGATGGAGAGCTAATGAACAAGATGGAGTTTTATGCGTTTGTTTATATATGATGCATTGATTTGTCTAGAATGATATATATAATGCTTGTGATGAGACTGGTGAAGTTTTTAGATGTTGCATATTCTGTCAAGATGAACTTTTCTATTATCTCTATTGCTTAGCTTGTTCAATGTGACATGAGGGGATGAGGCCCATTTTATTTAATTAGAATTAGGTGACTCGAACTTTATTCTTTAGCGAACCCATTTGCCAAACATCAAAAATAATAAAATTTTAGTTTTGTTCTTCTTCCCGTGTCATCCTCTCTTCCCTAATCATGGTTGGTAACAAAGGGAACTGTGTTTCCTCCTTTTTTTTAATAGTGTATTGGTACATTTTATTTCATTCATATGCAAGTCATGTCAAGATGCAGGCTTGCGAGCCTCTTGGGGATGATATAAGCCGTGGAACTTACTGAGTTTAGCGCATTTTTTGATCAAAACATTGCCAAAATCGACTAGTCACTGCTACACTTGGCTTCTTAGACTTGCTACTTAAAACCATCAAATATCTCTTTATTTTTCGATGTGGGACTAAACATTGGGGCGTCACAAGTCATGCTACTACGAGCACAAATTTTATCAAAACACTCTACTCATTCACAGCGGTGATAGGGTGAAATTTTGAAAATTTTAATTGTTCTCTTTATTATTTAGATAATTTCACTCGTATGTTTAAATAATCTTTACTTGTATATAAAAATTTAACTGTTCTACAACCCATGTTTCTTTTTTTGGCATCGGATATTGGAATACTTCCAAAGAATCTAGACAATTAATATTAGATAAAATGATGGTTAGTCCTGTTAAAATGTAGAGATATAACTCTCAAATCTCACCGTAAGTTTGAAGTTTTGACCTTATAGTTAGGGACTTTACGAAGCCCTCTTTTGCATTCCTCATCACATGAATTAACTCCATAGGAAAGAAACTATATAAGAGGATAAAAGTTGATGAAATTTGAATCTCCATGAGAAGATTTTCCCACAATTTTAAGTGAACCAATTAAGAGAGAAATTAATGTGCTAACTCCCATTTGGAAATCTCTCTTTTAGAAGCTCATTTATATTACTACTTTATATTATAAATATATTAAGGCAGCTCAATGGACAAACTCTCACCGTTGTGGGGGTCTAGAGAAAG